GAGCTTGAGCTCGCTGGGGAGATTGGGCCAGATTATGCTGGCTAGTTAATTCGAGAGTTATGCATTGGCTGCGTCAGACAGACTCGTCGCGACTGGAAGGAAGGAAGGTTTTCCCATTTTGGTCCATTTTTAGTAGAGGTGCCAAAAGGTTAACCTTTTAGTTCTGGGTCCTTTGGGCAAGTGAGAAACTGAAGGTAGGGATGGTATGCCCAACATACTGTGGACGGACAAAACCCTGCATCACTTTGAAACGATGGTTGAAAACATAGCGTTTGTTGATGTTTGTTGGTATTTACGTTGGGCAAAATCGACGCATAAACCAGGGTTTCTGGACGATGGTGCCTAAGAGCATTTTGCAGCCATCCACAGTAGGACTCCAACTCAGGTTCCCTACAAACGGCACCCAAAAAGGGGCACCCAAAAATAGGCGTTCGAATGTGGAAACCATCCACAACGTGGTTGTTGTTGAGAAACATTTTGCATTTTTGCTTATTGTGGTTTAGTGGGAAATCCCCACTTAACTGCTATAATTTAAATTTTTGCTGCCCTTTCAACGTCCTCCAAGACAGTAGGAGTCACGACTCCCCGAGCTTAAGACACTAAGCTGTAAAGCAACTCTTTCCAGAACCTGCACCCAGGCAGATCGCGGCCCAGCACGCCCAGGACGTTGAGCAACCGGGCATCACGGGTTACTTCCATTTGCTGCGGGGAATTCTGTGGTTTTCCTCTGGTTTTAAAGGGAACCTATCACTGGAGATATTTGTTCTAACCTTTGGACCCCAGCTGGAGCTACCCATTCACCTTCCCAGATTGGTTTCATGCCATCCATGTACCATTCGGAAATCCCATTTGAGCCGCGTCCTCAAAACCGATTCGGGTAGACGAAGCTTAGTACGGGATGATCCCAGCCTATGGGTGCCTTCGCCGCCTTTGTAAGTCTTGACTATGCCTCGGTACCTTCCATTTCCATTCTGAACCCAGGGATCCTTCTTTCTGGAAAACCTCCGGCAACCCAGGGAAAGCAGCTAGTTATTCAAAAGAACGATGGTTGAAAAGAATGGACATGGAATCAGCCCCTAGCAAAATCACCTCGAATGGATGGATTCCGAGGTTCACCTACTCCAAGGAGAGGTACCACCCAAAGCTGTAGAAGCTCCGGTTTTTTGGGGAATTTCTCCTCAGTTGTTCAGTGGCTCCCTTTTTCTTTTTTTTTGGTGGCTGCCCCACGAAACTGGTCTTCCCCCCAAAAAAAAGGTTCCCTTCTTTTTCCGGGGTCACTGAACAACTGAGCCTAATTTGGATGACAATCCTTGGGTAAATGGTGGTTATATTCTCGCCCAACCATGGTTTTGATGGTTTGAATCCCAGGGTTTTTGTTTGGAATCTCTCTCGTTTTCCAGGAAAGGTCACCCCGAAAAAAGCCCATCGCAGGAGGTGGTGAACCAGGCGGCTTCTCTCGCGGAGCTCCGGGCGCGGCTGGGGGTGCAGCAGCACATGGCCCAGGTGCAGGCGACCCGAAGCAGAACGGCTCGAGGCCCACGGACATATGTCTACATAGAGATACGTATTATTTACATATACTCAGTTGCCCAAAGCCGACCTTTTGACCTTTTGGTTTTCCCATTTTGGTCCATTTTTAGTAAAGGTCCCAAAAGGTTATCCTTTTACTTTGTAACATGTGTATATATATAAGTATATATATCATATGTAGATACATACTCACTCCCTGAGTCCATGTGCTGTAACATTGGAAGTGCCCCATTCTACCCTCCCCTACTAACATAGACTAGAGGAAAAAGGGTACCCTTATTCTAACCTCTCTACTGGAGGACCTAGTATGCCTACATAGATATTTAAATATTATATACACATATGTCACATATTTATGTTTATGCAACATATGGTTGTATATTTCTATGCATATATATATATATATACATACTCACTCCCTAAGTTCATGGGCTGTAAATTCAATCTTTTGGGCTTGGACCAGTTTAGATGTTTGGATTTGTTTTTGCCAATCCACTCAGGAAGTGAGGAGACCTCACAACACCAAGGCCCAAATCGGGCCATGATAGTTGGTTCCTTCGTTGCGCGGGGGCGGACCGACCTCTTGATCTGACCTTTTGTTGTTTTTGTGGCAACCATGCGTAGTGGCCCCCAAAGGGTAAACCTTTGATTCCTGTGTCCTTTGGGCAACTGAGGCTCGGCTCCTACCTGGTGAACAATTGCGGGTAGTAAAGGCGAGCATGGGGTTCCTTTTGTGTTTTTGAGTTGGAGCCATGTATGTGTTGCTTACCTCTTAAAAAACACAACTTTTCTCAACTTTTTGGGTAACATGGGCTATATGTCTGTAAAAGATGAGAACTTCCCCAGGGCTTGGAGTTTTAAGGGGTAAGGTTGGTGCTTTAAAAAAGAGAGCGGCAACAGGAAACCCCCGTGCCGGTTGTAGGGGCCGATGCCGATGTTGAAAAAACCACCCGGCTGGGTGAACCTTGGCCCAGCCTCCTGGTTTGGCAAACTTGTTGTCAGCTGGTTTCTTCGTTGTCACTGCCCGACAAGTTAGAACCCTTGCTGGCAACCAGCTGAGCCGGTCAGCCACATTTGGTGTACATGGAAATATATACTGTTTTCAGATTCTGCTTGACCCAAACCTGGCAGAGACTCCAACAACCACTTCCCAAGTTTGTTGGACGCCATACTTGCTTCGGGAAGGCCATTTCAGGAAGGGAGGTGAAACACTTTGGGGTGGGTTGTAACCAAAGTAGTCGCAAGGGCCTAAATGAGCATGTGATAGCTTGTGAGGGACTTCAATGCCAAACAAGGTCGTGTCATGACCGTCAGGGAATACGCCGGGGACATGACTTTCTTGTGGTCGGAGTCTAGTGGGAAGCCGTGTACAGAAGCCCAATAATTGAGGTCCACAATGAAGTTTTCAGCCTTTGTTGGTGTAGCTAATGTACAATTGACTGATTTCATACAGGAGTGAAGTTGGGTTTTTCGTCTTTAGGCTTTGGCTTTTTGGGACACACGATTTGCTCTCCAACCAGCACAAATTTGCCCCAAGGTTGCACGCTTAGGCGCATGAGGAGTAGCAAAGACAGTTCCTTTGGTGGTAAATCAAATGGGTGGCAATTTTGGCGGCTACCAACTTTGATCTTAAAGCAAAGGGAGTCCACTTTAACTTCACTGTTCTTGGCAAGGTTTTTTTCTCCATATGTCGCAGGGGGCTGCAAAAACACTTTTTTTTGCAACCATAGCATGCAGGGTTGCGGGATCAAGGGGTTTCTCCCCACTTCTGTGATACAAGGGAATCCTCCTTTATATGAAGAAAATAGTCTTTGGGAAGCCCTTTCTGTTGTATCACAGAAGTGGATTCCATTCCCCACAGCCCTGATACCCATGGGGGGAAGTTGAGACCCTGGGCCAACGTTTGAATCCTGTTCCTGAAGTTCTGAAACACGGGTGAGGAGAATGCAGCGCAGCGGGCGCTCGCCATCGCCGGGCCCAATGCCTCGCACGCGGTGGCTTGGCCCGGGCCCCCCTTGGAGGAGCCGACCGCCGGCGGTCGGCGAAAGCACACGTCGCAGGGCGGGCTTTTGCCCCAAGTGCAAACAAAAACCCACTGAGGTTGTCCAGGTGTTTTTTGTTGCTTTTTGCATACCAATGGTTGTAAGGCAAACCAACCGTGGTACGTCATGGTATGGCTTTAGTTGCAATTTCACCAATTATATTTGTCCACTGTTTGTTTTGATTGTTTGTTCCGACCATGGCCTTACGAGTCCTCCTGGCAGTTGGATGGTTTTCCAGTTTGGGTTCCAAACCTCCGTGCGAACTTCCCACCCTGAGAGCCCCTTGCAGGTTCTGCAGGGTTCCACAAGGAGCCTTCGGGAGCCCCGGCCCCCCCCCCACCCTGCCATGAACTGTTTCGGCCAATGCGTCGAGGTGATGTGTAATAAAAAAAGCACTTGGCACACCCCCCCCCTTCCTATTGTGGATGGACGAAATCCTGCACCACCTAAGAAACCCTAGAATGATGATTCCCCTGTAAATACCAAGAAACAATGGCTTCCCGTGGTTTCAAAGTGGTGCGAAATGGATTTCGTCCATCCACAGTAGGACAACCCTTCAGGGATTCCCAAAGCTGAGGGTTCGCGGCGCAGGATGAAGATGGGTCTGGACCCCGGCAAAGCGCCCGAACTCGTGAGGCCCTGATCCGGCTCAGACTTGGAGCGATTTTTGGTTGGCTTTTACACATATAGGTGTCCTGTTTTGGTTGTATTTTGGTAGAAAAATAGAGGGCGATTCCTGGTTTCCCTGGTGGTTTGATCATCTACCAGGGACACCCATCTATTCCCCCTATGCTTTTACATGGTTACTAGCTGGTGGATAGGGAGCCGGACTCGGAGCCTTGGGGCATCCAATGTTACTTGGGGGAGCTGAGAGGCGAGGTAGCTGAGAGGCGAGGTAGCTGGAGTTCTGGCTGAGCGACTTCAGGTAGTTTCGTGTCTTTTCTCAGTTGTTCAAAGCCGACCTTTTGACCTTTTGGTTTTCCCATTTTGGTCCATATTTAGTCATGGCCCCAAAAGGTTAACCTTTTAGTTCCAGGTCCTTTGGGCAACTGAGTTTTGGGTCAAGGCGATGACCTTTGACATCGGGGGTTGGTTTACTCGGTCCCCCAGCAATTGGTGCCCTTTCTCACCGATTCTTTTTTGGGGGTGGGTTCCCGTATTCTAACCTCTCTACTGGAGGACCTAGACATATTTCCAGGTCCTTTTTGGATCTCCTCAAACTGGGAGGAGTATTGACCCCGGATCAGAAACCCATCCTATTGGTAGGGGGGTGTTCCCCTCCAAAAGTGATTAAGCCCCACTCAGCCCAGAGACACCCCCCTATACTGGGGTTTATTGATCCGGGGTTCCCATTGCCCTTAAAAAGACACGTTTGATCTGTTTTCATTTGGTCTGTGCGACCTCGCACGTTATGCCACCGGGCCGTTGGCTCAAGGGGTCGGCGCGGTCCGCCCACCAAACGAAGTAGAGGCAGGGATGAGCCAAGAGACCAATTTTCACTGTTTTGTCAAGTTGTTTGTTTGTCGTTTTGCTTTTTTTGAGCTTGTTCGTTCTTAGTGCAGTTCAGTAGTTGGTTCGGTTCCTTTTTAGGTTTGGGCACGCTGCGGAAAACAAGGTTTTCTGTAACCCTGCCAAGTGTTGTAAAGTTATTCAGATGCGAGGCTGGATGGAGCCTTGTACGCTGTCAATGTAGCTGTGTAAGGCAGTACGAGTGTATGAATATACCTACGTATCTATATATATATATATGTATATATATATATAAACACAGTATGCCTAGTGTTTAAGCCCCATACCTCCAAAATATGCTTACGCTTGCTCTTTGCATGTTGGAGCCCTTGCAGCGATTTTCCACAACAACAACAACAACAACAACAACAAAAAACACAACAACAAAACAACAACAACAAACAACAACAACAACAACAACAACAACAACCCACCACCACCACCACCACCACCACCACCACCACCACCACCACCACCACCACCACCACCACCACCACAACCACAACCACAACCACAACCACAACCACAACCACCACCACACACCACCACCACCACCACCACCACCACCACCACCACAACCACAACCACAACAACAACCGCAACCCAACCACAACCACAACCACAACCACAACCACCACCACCACCACCACAACCACAACCGCAACCGCAACCCCAACCACAACCACAACCACAACCACAACCACAACCAAAACCACAACAACAACAACAACAACAACAACAACAAGGGTTTTGTGGCTGGTTGGCTTGCTTGATATTGGCCAAAGTCCGAGAGGCTATGGCAGCTGGATGCCCAGCTGCCCAGCGGGTTGCACACTTTGTTCAACTTTGGGGCAGGGGTTGCAATACACACAAACAAGTTACTTGTTGTATGAGTATGTATATATATATATATATTTTAAGATTTGCGTATATATTTGTGTATGCACTTATGCAAGGTCATAGTCATGCGGTGGGAAAATCTTCAGTGTTTCTGGGGCCGGGTTTGGCATGGCTTTGGTTGTGGCGGTTTGGTAGCGACATGTAGCGACCTCGGACCTGTCGGCCACGATGTTTTACGCGCGAAATGGGCGTCCAGGCGCTCATGGCGATGCCATACAGCACCTTTGGGCCAGGCGGGGGGTCGGCTTAGCCTCAGTTCTTGGTCGTGGCGTAGGCTCGCATGCCCAAAAAGTCGCAACAAGAGGGGAGCCAGAAGCTGCTTCCTTTTTTTTTTTCTGGGGGGGTGGGGGGGTGGGGGGGTGGGAGGAAGTTCATTTATAGTATATACATATATATATATATAGATATGAGGAACATGAGGAAATCTGATACAGTTTCTTTGAAGGGGGCGGGTCCCTTATGTCGGCACATCCCCACCTCACCTGCGACGGAGCTGGGCCAGAAGCTTCCCATCGCTCCCCGCGAATCTGGCTCCACTTGACGGGGGTAGGGAAAACCGGGTGCCGCCGCGGTATTTCTGGGTTCGCACCCCTAGTTTTGGGATGTTTTGGGACGTTTTGGGTCAGATTCAAGTGGGAACAGAAGTACAACCCTTTTCGGAAGGCTCGTGGATGTGGTTTGACTTGGGAAGTAAAAGGAAGCTGTCCACGTTTCAACATGTGTTCACAGGAGAGTGTTTCAGGAGCAACCCGAGACCCTTGGGCAGGCTCGGACCCTCCCGAAAGCTCTCCAATCAAGGCCTGAATTGGCCTTCTGCCTTGCTTGACCTTTTGGGGCTTGGGAAGTCGTGGGGTCGAAAACTGAAAGAACTGCCTGACCTGGGTTGTTGGGAATTAAGCTTTTTGGTTGAACAGTTTGCGGTTGCTTTTTCGGGCCGATCTCAGGTAAGGTGCTGAGCCTGAAATTCCAAAGATGTGAATATTTGGGTGGGCCAAGACCTGTTCAAGGAGTGAGCCCTTTGGAATTAGGTGGTTTGTCGGCTTGGGGGATGCGCCCCTCGTTGGTTTTGCTGCCAGACGCAAAGCGAGATGAGAAGCCCACGGGGCAAGTCTTCATGCCCGGCAAGAGGCGGGACAGGTTTTCACGGAAACCAACAACGAGGTCCCCCAAAAAGAGACTCCTGCATTTAAACATGGATTGTCTGGTGGGGTTGATCGCCAGGAATGCAAAACGGTCAACACGAGTCGGCCCCCTTTCGTTTCATGCGTAGAAAACGTGTGTTTGTGCGTGTGTGTGTGTCGCCTCTTCTGCTCCCTTTGGTTTCCCCCTTTGCCAGGGTCAACATTTCGTGGGAACACCCAGCTGGTGGTTGGAAGGGGGAGCTAAGGAGCTACCAGGAGTTCTGTGAGGACATGGCTGCTATGATATATATATATATATATAGCTCTCTCTCACCCGCTTCAAGTTTACGTTTGAATTGACGTCGTTCAGAGAAACCGACGACTTTGGGATTTCTGGTTTTCACATGGTTTCCGAGCCATTTCACCTTCAAAAGGAACCTCCAAAAGTGGTCGTTTTAGTGCAACATAGCAGTAATTAACTTGATCAATTTTAGGGGCACCTTTACTGACCCCTGTCTCAGAAGGGTGCTTGCGCAAGCGGCTTCAAATTGGCAGGCCTTGCTATTCCACAGGCATGTTCGGTTTGCGGGTTTCGTAAGTTGCCAGCCAAGTTGACAACACACTTGCAAGCCACTTAGCTTAGGTTGATTGTGAGTTAAAACCGGGCTCTCCTTTATATACCTGGAGTCTCCATGACCCTTCAAAAATGGTTGGTGATTACCCAAAGTCGAGTGGCCATGACCAACCATATTTACAGGGTCAAGGAGACTCCAGGTAGTTTTAAATAGATCCGTGCTGTAAATTTTGGTGGACGAACTCTGAAGCAAGTCATTGGGCACCGGGCACCTGATTTGATGGGGCCAGCGCCTCAGAAGCGTTGGCCATGGACACCGTTCGTGCTGTAACCATGTTTTTCCTGCCTGGTTTCAGGAACTGTTCTAGGGTAGCTTCCATTTCCATTCTTAACCCAGGCATCTTTCTAGAAGACCACCAGAAACGTTTGTGCAAAGAACGATGGCTGGGATCCCGAAATCTGCCTCGGCTATCAATGCCAACCGGCAGTGAGCCTCAAACAAACCCACCACTGGTCACCAAGCACCCAGCTTCAAAACGCCCAACCCACCTAGCTAGCGAACCAAGCAACCAAACCAAGCATTCAAGCCAGCCAAACCAGCCAAACCAGCCAAACCAGTCCAACCAAGCTGAGCTGGGAGGGAACGAAGCCAGAGGCAAAAACAATTTCATCTCGAGTGATCGATTTTTCGCAGGAAGCGCTTCAATGCGCTGGCCATCGCATTGAATTTGCTGGTGCCCACCTGTGCCTTTGCCTTCATCTCCTGGGTGCGGAGCTTGGATGGGGTTGGGGGGGTGGGGGTGGGGGTGGGGTGGGGGTGGGGTGGGGGGAGGTGGTGGGGGTGGGGGGGAGAGGTGGGGGGGTTGGGGTGGGGAGGTGGGAGGTGGGGGGGGGGGGGTTGGGGAGTTGGAGGCGGTTTTTTTCAGGTCGCCCTCATTTGGTGGGTTAGATTTGTGTTGGGGGCTGACAGTAGTCTGCTCAAGAAACGGGCTTTCCGATTCAAGAAAGGTGTCCCTTTGGTTCCCCACCCCCAAACAAATGGTGTTCCGACTCAAAGAAAAACTCAGTTGTTCAAAGCCGACCTTTTGACCTTTTGGTTTTCCAATTTTGGTCATGGCCCCAAAAAGGTTAACCTTTTAGTTCCAGGTCCTTTGGGCAACTGAGAAAAGACGAGCATCGCCCACTACGAGCATCTCCAGGCCTTGGCGTTCGAGCTCCACTACGACCGGCCCAAGTTGGCCTGGGGCAGCGTGGCTGGGGGCCGAGATGTCTCGATCGCCTTGGGGCTCGGATCCACGGAAGGTCACAAGGGGAGCTTTCGGCGTTGAAGGAACCCCCCGACTTTGGTCCAGGCCCTTTTAGTGGAATCCACCCGTTGGATGTCCACGCGGGTTTTGGGAACCTGGGGATTTGGTTGAAGGAAGCTGGTCATTTTCCCTTAAAGCAAACCATAGGGGATGGTTTTTGTTGGAGTCATTCCATGTTTCACTCCCTGAGAATCAGCAAGCTTAAACCCCTGTAGAACCAGGGGCTCAAATCCAAATCCACCCCAAGGGCCTGACCAACGAGGCTGCCTCGATTGGTTTGGGCTGGGGGGTTTTGGAGTTTGAAGAAGCCTTTCTAGAGGCTACTAGGGAGAAGCTGACCTGGCGGATTTCGATCAGGGGGTGTCAGCTGCTAGTGACGGAAGCCTTCACTTTTGAGGCTGGCACCCCCCCACTTGGTAGGACGGGTCGAGTAGTCTTGGGTCAACAGAAAAATATCGACATGATGTTCAAAAAGTACAACAGGAATGAGGGAAGGCCTTGAAAAGTACAAGCATCCAATACCTTTGTTTATGTACCCTTTAGATAGTTGTATTTTTGATTTCAGTACGTCTTGATCTCCACTGGTAACCCTTTTAGCTTGCGTCTGTTGTGTGGTTTCGTGATATTCCCCCTTGAGTGTTCTAGACTTGTTTTCTTCAGTGTGCTTCAGTCTTGAATTCCTTCTGCGAACTGACTTTGGGAATCCCATTTTGCGTGCCCATGCGAACCTCCTTTCAACGAAACTGTCGTTCTCAGCAGGGATTGAGGACTGATCTGAGCACCAGCAACATTGCAGGACCGGATGTAATCAACACACTGTTGCAGTCACCATTCCCTGGGGTGAAAACTTGACTGCTACTGGGTTGGATCTTTAGGCTTTACCTTTTTGGTTGAAGTCAAGGGGGTTTTCCACCAAACCCCCAAAAACTTAAACTCACTTTTTGCAGGGGGGTCTCGCCAGCAACCAAGTCAGGAAACCATCAGGAAAAGCAGCTTGGAAACAGCGATCGGTTTTTGAAAAGGACCAGGGTTGGAAAGAATGTGGAATCAAACCCTAGAAGAGTCCAACAAATATCCCCCACCCGGATCATTCCCATGGGTGGACTGGGTTTCCAAGAAAAAAACAAAACAGTCACTTTTCTTTCAAAGTCTTTGCGACGGCCCAGTTTGGGGCCCGAAGCGATCTGACTCTGAGGTGATGGGTCTGGCTGTGGCCATGTTCTCGTCCAGGGGCCCAGCCTTTTGAAGGCAGTCGGTTGGTTTTGAGGGTGGCCAGTTCCGCTAAGCTTAGGACCCAGCTGGGTCAAAACCGTTTTGGGATCCCATTTTGGTTGGTTGGTGAATTCACCACCCATTTTAGTCTATTTTAGTGGGGTTTTGACCCATAGCCAAATGGGCCAACTCTGAAAAAAAGAAGACGACCCACTCTAAATCTTAAGCCTTAGGATTTAGAGCGGGTCATCCAGCTACGCCCTGCCAAAAATTGCAACCTCCGGCTGAAGGGGGGGTGTTCCGGGAGGGTTGCGCTTGCAAGCGGCACCCAGGTACCTCATGGGCAGGTGCAGTCGACACCTGGATGGGCCGCCCATGTGGTGCGCCCATGGGAGTTCCCCCGTCAAATGAGGTCCATCCAAAGGCCCCCCCGCAAGGGGTTGGTTAGTAAATGGTTCGCAACCCTGGCTATAACAAGTTCCCCCTTTTGTCACTTCCCCGAGTGAGTGCCTTGCCCATCTTCGGACTTTTCGTTGCTGGGTGCTCTGCAGGTCAGTTGCCTTACCAAGTAGCCAACTCCCTACCAGCACCGTCCAAGGACTGCTTTTCCCCATGTCCAAAACCCCAAGTACAGAACCAAAAAGCCGCAGTTGGAGGGGGGTGCTGGTAAGTGGGCAATTTCAATGTCAGGTACTCCTTCTTTGCCGCCAGCTTGACCTTTGCGACCCTCTTGGGGGCCTTTGTGGGGGACTACCTCTATGCGGGCATGATGGAGGCACCTGCTGCACAGGTTCGACCAACTGCGCCCAAAGGCCTTTCACACTTGCAGGGATTACCAAAGAAAATCCCTAGCACCCCTCTGTTGGTTCGCAAAGGGACAACTGCAAGATGTTGGCTGCTTTTTCCCAGTTCTTAGTTCTCAGTGGGATTGCAGAATGACGCACTAGAAACATCCCCAAACGCCTTACGGTTCATTCCCCCAAACCCCCTTTTGATTTCTCACTGAGGGAGACGTGTCGGCCGGTTCCATGTTCCTTCAGGCATCCTTCGATTTTCAGAATCTCGGCAGCTACCCTGCCAGGGCCTCGGCGGAGTTATGTTTTGTCGACCTCACTTCCCCAGGAGGGCTGTTGTTGTTTGTGTTTTTTTTTTCCTTTTCGGGGGCGGGGGGGGGGGAAGGAGTAATATGTTAGTGGCACCCATCTTTGGTTGAACTCACTCCCTCAGTTGTTTGGACTGCATACTTTCTGGCGGATATGTTTGTTTGGTGGTAAACGGCAAGCTTTTTGCTCGACCAATCCCAGGAGGTGGCTCCATTTCGTTCCAGCTACCTGTTATGTTTGTCTTTAAAGAATCCTACCAACCCCATGCATTTTGTTAAGCACAAACGGTGCTTATTTACACAGGAAAATAAGCCCCGGTGGACCCCCAACAGCCCCGGAACCTCTTGGAACCCTCCTTTTGAACCTTCCCTGAAAGCTGGCCCAAACCCTTATCTCCCATCTGGGCCTATCAACCCCATAGCTTTCAGCTGGGAGCAATGCAAGGTTCCATTTCCTTGTTTTTTTTGGAAATCAGCAGGGGACACCACCTGAAGCACATGGATCAAACCAAGCTTTCAGAGCTGCAAAGGGCTAAGCTGGGGCAGACACCAACTCGAAGAAGTGCCTTTCAAGAAGCATGGAAGTGGACAGCAGGGTTGTCTCAGTTGGTGCTTGGGTCAAATGTTTATCCCAGTTTGGGTGCACCTGTTTAAACAAATGCATCACTTTTCACGGATGGGAGGGGCTTTGCACCGAGGCAGTGGACCCATCACGACAGAAGGGGCAGCAGCTGATGGACCCGCGTGCTCTTCGTTTGTGACCAAAATGGTTGGGTGGCTCGTCTTTTCTTGAGGCTTGGTACCCTTGGTGACGCGTATGTTTACAGGGATCCCAAAGGGAAGACCAAATTTTTGAGGCCCCCCCAGCTTGACATGCACTCATGTTTCTTCAAATTGAGATGGCACCCCAAAGCCCGATTCTTCGAATCTCCGCTTGGGCTCGGACCCGCCCTTTTTTTCTTCACAGCCCCAAGGACAGCTTGTTGGTTTTGATCGAAGGGTTTGGAGTCCGATCACGTTTTTGAGGGACCCCTTTGTTCTTTGTGTTGAAGGAAACCAAAAAGGAAAGCCACACTTTGAGAGGTTCCCTGATTTAAGGCACATCCGTTTAGAGGAGTCTCCCCAAATTGAGTCTCCCCAAATTTTGCCAGCCGAATGGCTTGACGGGGTGAATTTGAGGGAATGCCTTTTTTATCGTAACGGACATTGTTTGTGCGCTTTCGGAGTTTCTGCGCCCTAAGCCTGCAGCTGTATGCACCATTGCACCCCTTTTTTTCTAGGCTGGCCCCTTCCGGAAACGGGGATCTCCAGGTGTGGGTCTCCTCGAATCTTTGGCCCTTGTTGTCAGACGCTCTCGCAATGTCCACGGTGTGCAAGTTGTTTGGCCGATGTTGTAACACAAGGCTCAGGCGCTTCATGCGGGCAACAAGACACATCTGCTTTTTTAATCACTTCAGGGGTTGGCATCGTTCCCTGAAACAAGAGTGTGCGCAGGACCCATTGATCCACAAATGTTTGCTCTGGAGCACGTTGATCCACAAATGTTTGCTCTCGCACTTCTTTGTGTATCAAAGGGCTTCTGGGGCCAGGGAGTTTGTTTCCCCGTCTTTGGCGCGGCTCTCTGCAGGACGCGGGCAGGGTGTACTTCGCCTCTGGCAGCAAGCTGGACCTAGCCAAGCTCGGGCTTCAGCGGGTCCAAAGCCGACCTTTGGAGCTTTTGGTGTCATTTGGATTCCTTTTTACTTCCAACCAGAATTAGCTCCCCCTTTTGAGGTTTTGCCTTTTTGGGGTCCCCATTGTTTTCCACAGGCAACAAATCACGTAGTTGTTTGCCGGGGTTCTAATTCCAGCCAAGTTCCGTCAAGGTCCGAAAGGGCAAGTGAGATCCCCCAAATGATAGGGTTTTCCCTGGTTGGTTGGTACTTGCAGCGGGGAGTGCAGGATTTCGTCCATTGGCCTTTTTTGGGAGAGGTCTCTTGGAGAAACCGCCTTGAGGATGTCATTTTCCTTGAACACCTTGTTGACAATCCTATGTCAAGTTGTATCGCTCTATTCCTTGAACTTGTACTATCCCAGACAATCCAGGTAATTTATAGATATACACCCACATTTGCCATTTCTCCAACTGGATCACATGTTGGTATATATCTTGACTGCAATTGGGTTGGATCTTTAGCTTTCACTTTTCGGGAAGTCAAGTTGGGCTGTCCACTGAACCCCCCAACAGCTATTCACTTTTTGCAGGGGGTCGTTGCAGCAACCACGATTTTGCCTGCGTGGATTGTCTGGGTATGACGGACCTGTTTTTTGAAGCTTGGCTCGTCGTCCATCGGCCGGAGGTCCATGAGCTTCCAAAACTTCGAGGAGTGCGCGGCCGTTAGAAACGCGACACAGCCCGGACTCGAAACGGTGGCTGGAGGGTCGATATTTTCCATTTTTGTTGTTTGTTTCTTTTTCTTTTTGCGGGGGACAGGGGAGGCGTTTCTGTTCTTGTTGTTGTTGTTCTTTTTCTTTGGGGAGGAGAGGGGGGGCGTTGTTTTTGTTGTTGTTTTTCTTCGGGGGGGAGAGCGCCCCATATGGACAGGCGGCCCCTAGTTGGTGGTTTGGATTGGTGGTTTGGGGGGTGCTTGAACCCTGGTTCTTGTTGAGGGTAAATGGAAAAGGCTCTACCTTGCGGTGGTGACATTGTAGGGTGCGACTCCTCCCAAGACCTTCGCTAGAAGTTCACATTCGCTATCCCTGGGGTTGAAACCATCATCAAAACAATGGGGGTCAATATATATAGCCACTATGATTTCCCCAAGGATTTTCCTCATCCAAATTGGCATTCTTGTAATGGGGGCGTCTGGAACTTCAGGGCTACTTTGATTCTTTTGCCAGGTCGAGGACCGTTTCTGTCGCCCGGACGGCAGGTACTGCGTGGTGCCCATCGTGAAGGGAGACGATGAGCTTGCGCCGGGGAGCTCGAGCGTTACGAGGGCGGACGGTTCGATGGCGAGCGCCCGGGGGTTCCAGACGCCCCCATGAAAAGAATGGCCTTGCGACCTAATTTGGTTGGTGGGGCCAGCATACATCAGATCAGGGCTGAACTGATGCCCTACCCCTGGGTTCCAGAAAAGAATGGCCCAAGGGGACCTACTTTGGATGACAATCCTTGGGTAAATGGTGGTTATATTCTTGCCCAACCATGGTTTTGATGGTTTGAATCCCAGGGTTTGTTCCTTTCCAGCTGGCTTTTGCTGGAACAGTGTTGGTGGGGCCAGGATTAACCCTAAAACAGTGTTGTGGGTGGGAGAACCTCTGGAGTCGCCAACATGCCCAGGGCCAAACTGATGCCCTACCCCTGTGGCTTGCCTCTTGTATCCTTTTAAAGACACCTTTTCGTTTGGACCCGTGACGGAAAGGGTCTTATACTTTCAATTCGCTCCCTTCCTAAACTTTAATCACAGGGTCATGCACGCCGTGTCCAGCAAATGGTTACCCTCCCACCCTTTTCGCATGGAAGCTGACCGATGGTCCAGCACCAGCACCCAGCCATTCAGGTTCCATGTCAAGTCGAATTCTTGCAACATGCAAGCGACGGGAATTGGCAACTAGCTTCGCAGTTTACCTGCTGTGGGCTTGGTCCTGCCTGTAACCAAAAACATCCCTTTAAGCTGGGGGTATCAAGAAAGAATCAAACATGTAAATATGAAACTTATGCAACGAATTGTACATCATGAATATGTGTCTACATGATGCGCACGACCATGCAAACACATATTAACTGATATACCTATGCAGCAGGTCCTACGACTTTTGGGCCGTGGGGGTCAACTGCTGCGACCAGCGCGACGGCGTCTTCCGCTGCGGCGAGTGGGGAGGCCGAGGATGCCACGCGGAAAGTGTGAGGCCAGACGGGAGCTTTTGGAGGTAGCCTTGGCTGAACAATGGATCATAAGACTTATAAAGTAGCAAAACAACTTTCAGGACAAGGCTATGGTTGAAAGTTAGTATTCAGGACAAAGCAAAAGACAGCGGTTGAGAGGTTGTGCTGCAGAAGCCGCACTTGAGTTGTTGAGCTTGTGAGCTTTATGTTTGGCTTGCACGGATTGGCACGAGAAGTTTGGAGGTTCGGCTTGGGCCGCGCGCGTCGAGAGATTCTTTGACGCATCAAAGGCGAGTGGCGCAGAGTGGACCGCGGACTGGGGTGGCCAGGGTATACTCCCAGCCCCGAGTGGGGCGCTTCATTGTTTGGTTTAGGGTGTATCTCTTTTTGAGGCTACTCTTTTTGGGCTGGTAGCGACGCCTTAGAAGATTGGGGGAGGGAAAACCCCATGTAACTTCTACAAGAACCAGGGTGCAAATCCCAAACCAATCCAAACCACCACTTAGAGGGTGTTTGACTTTATTCTGACTTTAACTTTCCTTCTCTTTGGAGCCATTCGGCTTTGTGTGGAGCTTGGACGGGAAACCCAGTGCCTCCCCCTTCATTTCGAGAAGAACGCATCACCGGCGCGCTGAGCGCGGGGCCGGCCTGAGGTTCAGCAACACGCACGCCCGCTCGGGGCTGCGATACATGGAGGAGGCCGGGGCCATAGGGCTTCGAGATGGCCAGAGCCACGTCCTGCAAACCCGATTCGGGTAGATGAAGGTTGGGGATAGTCCCCTTGCCGTAAAACCAATCCATATGTAGTACAACCACTACAACGGGGATTTCACACCCCAAGGATGAAGGATTGCCTTTAACCAGCCCAGACAAGTACCCTCCCACCGGCTAAACAGGGTTTGGGACCCCTGTAGAAAGATGACTTTCCTCTTGGAAAGAGCCTTGCTGCACTTCTATGTTGGTTGGTGGGAGGGTCCCCTTGCCATAAAAGATGGTGCGGCTGATTCTTGAAGCATGTGTTTTTGTAGGTAAGATTTAAAACCGGGGTTTGATTGTGACTTCAGTAGGAATGGCTTTGGATTTTCTGTTAACCCTTGGTTGTTTGGATTGGTGGTTTGGATTAATAGCGGACCCGCACAGCTGGTGGCTTTCATGTTGGTTTCCCTTCAAAACCACCCCAAGGGTAGAAGGAAGCAGAATTATCTAGATGTTTGTTTGCGAGAGACGTTCGCATCAGGGCAACCGCCAGTACTTCCGCCTGGCCGTGCAGCAAGCAGAAGCCGCTTTCGGCATCAAGGCGGGGGCATGTCCACGCAGAAGGATAGTCTGCGGAGGCCCATGTGGGTTTGTCTCAACCATCATTCTTCCCCAGAATTAGCTCCCATTTTGCTTTTTTGCTTTATTGGGTTCCCTTTGTTTTCCACTAACCAGGCAAAACATATATATATATATACATATTTGCTGGGGTCCTAATTCCAGCCTAGCATTTTGGTACCTCTACTTAGCGACCCTTAACATTCCAACAAAAAGGGCAACCCGGAAAAGAAGGACACCCATTTCTTCCTTTCTTGTTTGGAGGTGAGGGACTTTATGCAGATCGAAGATGGTTTACACTAGCCCCCCATAGCAATCCCAGAACCAAAACCATGCAAAACACATTTTTTGGGTTTTAGGGTACTGTAAGCTTTCCACTCCTTTCTCCTGATTCCCCCCACCCCTATTCCAAAAAACTTGCCACACTTTGCTGCACTTCGTCTGTTTCATTTTGCCTGCTTGGATTTCCTGTCGTTCCCCTGCAACCAATTTTACTTCTTGCAGCGGGCCTAAGTCGCCACAGTTCGGTGGAGAAAGCGGCGAATCTGGAATCGGAAGCCGGCACTTGATGGATGCGAGGGAGCTTGCATGTCGCCTCGCTGGGGGTGCGCAGGGAAAAATGGAGTCTTCGCTTAGGAATATGTTTCGTTTTCCCCTGCTGGTTTCAAAGCAGATCTCGCTGTGAGCATGTTTCGTTTTCTTCCGACGGATTCGCAAATGGAGGCTCGCCCCTCAAGATGAAGCACCGATGCTAGACATTTGGCGGACGGTTGCCTTCGGTTGTCCATTTCAGCGTTGCCATGCCCCAAATTGCGTGTCGGGATTTCGGTGCGACTTTGCGTGGACACTGAGCAAAACCGACTTTTTCTTTTGGGGGAATATGTGAAACAACCCAAGTTTCCCATGGCACTGGTAAATATAGCGCTTCTTTTGCCGAGGGTTGACATCATACCCGAAAATAAAGGCATGTGGCGTAGGCAAGAGAGAGCTCACAGGTGGCACATGCAATTGGCCGATTCGCTCGGCTCAGGCGAACCACCCCTTGTTCTTCACCTGGACCCAGGACCCCCTTGCCTTGGTCACTGCCAAGGCTGCTTTGGTCGGACCGCAGGATCGATCCTCACCCAAATGACAATGGGAAGCTTCCCAACATCCAAACTAAGGGGCCATGTTTATGTATATGGTTCTGGGTCAGAATGAAACCACCAGGGGAGCGCAGGTTTTAGTCCATGTTTCCATTGACCAGAGGTTACCTATGTTTGATCCACTTGGTAAATGGCACATTGACAAGCTTGGTGGGCAGCCCTCATGATTTCCAGCTTCGCCTGCTGGAAGTTTCTAGTTGAAGGGGCAGGGTGTGGCCGGTACGTGGTCATCCATTATAAGCCACCGAAGCCATGGTTACAAATGGTTTCGAGCCCAGCTGACGAGTTTTCACCAAGCTTTCTCACCACTGGCCAAGTAATTTCTCTTCAAGTAGCTATGGTGCAGAATGTTGGGGGCTCACTTGTGTTGACTGCTACTGGGTTGGATCCAACAAGTTAAACTTTTTGCAGGGGTCTCGCCAGCAACCAAGTTGCTGTCCGCCACAAGACTTACCATATGCCATCAGGGCTCGCGCCTTCACGGATCTGCTTCTCACCCTTCCGAGATCCTGGCCTTGGACTTGTTGACATTTGGCTGGGTCAAAACCGTTTTGGGATCCCATTTTGGTTGGTAGCTGGAGTGTCCATGACCCTTAAAAAATGGGCTCATGACCCCTTTATTTTGTGTAATGACCCCTGTATTTTGTGTAATGACCCCATTTGTTAAGGGTCATGGAGACTCCAGGTTGGTGAATTCACCACCCATTTTAGAACCCATTTTAGCAGTTGGATTGGGATGTTCACTGGGGGTACGATTTGGATTTTGACCCATGACCATTTAGGTTGTTAATGGGCACCCCGGATCAAGCAGAACCCCAGTTTACTAGTAGGGCGTTAGGGAATCGTCACTTTTGGAGGATGCGATTCTTCATCTGGCGTCAACATGAGTGGCAACCAAAACGCTCGGAATTGACTTCCATTTGCTGAAATCACATATTTTCTCCTTTTTTCCAGGCGATAAATGCAAATGGAAGTTGTGGAAGCGAGGAGGGTAACCTCCCTCCTTTTGTGCTGATGAGGGTCATCACCCCCCCCCAAAAAAAACCTCCGTCTCGACGTCCAGGTGGACACTGCTTGGCGGCTCTATGGGGTTGGGGTGCCATCCTCAGAAAGTCGGGGGTTGGCGTTTCTCAGTCCTTATTCTGCACTCCCTGAGATCCTGGACTTTAGTCACTTTTTGGGTTTGGACCATTTTGGTGGCAACACAAATGAATTAGACCTTTATTTTTGGCCAACTCGGAAAGTGAGACTGGGTATGGACTCCTAGGATTCCTGGCTCGCAAAATGGATTTGGGGGATCCCCCCACCCCTCCTTGGTTTAAACCCAACTCAGCATGTAGGCAGCACTCCCTCTGTTGCACTTTCAAGCTACCCTTCTCATGGCTTTGACCCCAAATCGCACAAAAACGGACCAATCTGGCTCCAAATGGCTCTTTTCCACAGCCGTTTTGAACCACTTTGTTTTTTCTTTCTGGGAGAGCTCCCCTTGACAATCAACATGCGCAAGCAAAAAGTGGTTGCCTTCCTACTGTACTGTGAATGAACGAAATCCTGCACCACCTACGAAACCCTGAAATGTTGAATAGTTATCCTGCACACACCAACAAACGTTCTGGTGTCCTTCCCATGGTTTCATTTCGTGCTGCGAAATGGTTTTCGTCCATCCACAGTAGAACTTTTCCGCTTGGACCCCCAAACGCTACCCCCCCTCCAACCACACCTTCCAAAATGGAGTTGTGTTTGGCCGGGGGGGGGGTCAGGGGTTTTGTTCAGGGGGCGTTTCTCCGTTTAAATCGCCCAACCTGGCCTTAGTTTTTGGACGCGCCAGCCGCGGAGTCGCGGAGTCGCGGAGGTGGGGGTCCACTTCTTCACGAACCTCTTCGTGGTGATCGTGGCGCTCATGGGCTTCTCTCGCCTCGGCCATTTCTAGGCGACGAAGAGCCCGAAACGAAACCAAGCAAAAGGAGACGCGGTACCGGCCGTTCGGGGAAAACCATGATGTTCTGCTCGGTTTAGGCAAACCAGATCGACGCCACTGCTTGCGAAGCCCTCTTTCGAGATGCAACCACCCAGCGCAGGCTCTTCACTCTGCGACCTGTGAGCAGGTCGCCTCGGGATGGCGGAAAAAGCCGTGCAGATGGAAAGGGGGGGCTGGCTGTGGTGTAGCAGAGGCAGTCCGGAAAGTACGGAGATCCTGAGTTCCAACCACCAAACCTGATCTCACAAACCAAGAGGCAAAACGGATTTCAATGAGCCCAAAGCAGGGTTCCGTGCAGAAGGCACTAAAACAGTCACCCCATTTGGGACAACCATTGGCCCATTTTGGTGGCTGGTCTCAACAGATGTCTCAACTTCCGTCCTTTGGTTACGTGGTTCGTGGCTTGGGGCTGTTGAGCTGTCTTCTGAGGGCGACATGACAGAGACCGATCGACATTGGTGGATATGAATCTGCATTTGGAGGGCACAGGGCGGGTTTTACATTGGCTTTCAAGAGCGCTTTTCCTTTTCTTGGCGTGTGTTCCTTGGTTCTTTTGCCTTAACTTTTCTTTTGGCTTCCGTTCAGTTTTTCCTGGGAGGCTGCAGAAAACATGTTCTTCGTTGCTCCAACGGCAGGGGAGCCATGGGGTCGCGGTCGCCAATCGGCCTGAGGCAAAGTCGGCCCAGCGTTCACCGTGGAGGCTGGGGGAAAAGCCGGAGCTGGCGGGCATCTGACTCCTCCGAAAAAGTGCCAAAGCGTCAACACTTGACTGCTACTGGGTGACGGATCTTCAGATTTTAACCTTTTGGGAAATCAAGTGGTTTTCCACTAACCCCCCCCCAAAAAAAATATGCAGAGGGGTCAACAGCAACCAAGAAAATACACACTTCCTGCGCTCTTGGACATTAGTTTTCTTGGGCTTGGACCATCTGAGTGGTATTGCCAAACAGTTTGGACTTCATTTTGCCGATCCGCTCGGGAAGTGGGAAACAGGGAACCCCCCCGGCAACCTCAGTGGTCCAAGCCGAAAAAAGGGCCCTTGCCATGCCTCGAGCATGGCACCCAAGTTGGACCCCAATGTGCCGGCCCGTGTGATGCCTTTGACTCATTTCCCATCATGCCATCAAGGAAACTACATAAGAACTGGATTTGCGGGACATTCAATCATGATTTTAGGGCTAATCTATTGCTGGGCTGTCCTTAGATGGCCTAAAGGGGATATGGGCTGCACAAAGAATACCTTGAATTTTGACATGCCCAGTTTGGGAGGTGAAAAAAGCTTCCGGATGCGGCCAGGTGACGGCAACAAGAGCTTTTCCAAGTCCTCGCATCGGCCTCATAGCTCCAAAAATCCCTGGGTTTGAACAGGGGCTTTACAGGTGTTTAGCCATCGCGCGTTTGGCGCAGAGGTGAGGTTCCCTGTTTAGGGGCTGTCTCAAAGAACAAGTGAGCTGAAATAAAGCCCAAGCCGAAGTACGTTTGTGCCAACACTCGTGGATCTGGCGGGGCGGCAAAAGCAAAGGGAATGTATATTCCAACAACCTCGTTTCAGCTTCATACAGAAATTCACCTCCCACAAATTGTCTGCTTTACTCTTTCCCAATGGTGTCTGTGGGTGTGTGCTTTTTGGGGGGAGGGGTTTGGTGACCGCCGGCCTCCCCTTCGAAGAGCCTGAATATTAGAATGGTTGGGGGGCTACAATGAAACAAGAAGCACCTCATGATTATGGCAGACCCCGGTTTGCGATTGTGTGCCTTAAGATTCCTTCCCCCTTTCCCCGCTTTTTCATCTGTTTCAACGTTCTGGGCAGTACTCAGCTCGACGTTCCTTCATGCCATTCATGCCATTCGTGGAATTTGGAGCATGAGGAAAGTTCATGAATCTTGGAGGGTCCTTTCTTCTTGACTGCTATTGGGTTGGATCTTTAGACGTTAGCTTTTGGGGAAATCAAGGGGTTTTTCACTAAACCCCCAAAAAGTTAAACTTTTTGCAGGGGGGGTCAACAGTAAAGTCTTCGAGAACAATGTTTGCTTTGTCTTCACTAAATAGCTTTAGGCTTTCGTCCACCAGCGCGCACGCTCCTTGTTTTCAGTGGTTCTTAAATTCTCGTTGCCAGGGTTCCCACTGTTTCCCCTTCAGGGCGGGTTTAAGCATCACCTTGTGGCCCAATTTAGAAGTGGGCTTCCTTTTGTTGGGGTGGTGGCGAATCAAGCGGAAATGTATGGAGCTCTGCATGTCCAAGATCCAACCCTGTGAGTTTCCATGTTGAGTGGGTGTGCCAAAATGGAATCCTTTTAGCTGAGGCGCACAGTAAGCCGTCGGGGCGCCTAAATGCTGCGAGCGCATCGTGGCCTTTTGGGCTTTGGCTTTGCATCTTGCCGATTTCAGAGCGAGCTCAGCGGTTCGCAGGCAAAGCGGAAGTGTGCCATGCTGTAGTTCCTTTACTTTTGGATTCCGTGGCTCATTGGTTGGGAATGCTCATGCTATTCGCAGGTCTGAAGACCTAGACTAATAGACTGTGGATTCCATCCCGAACTTCAAATTGGAGCCACCTGCATCTCCTCAAGGGGTGGCCCCTAGTCGATCCCAGTGTCGGTTTCGGAGAGCCATATTTGATTTGGGGTATCCAACTTGGGAGTTCGAGCCAACAAAAAAGGTGGTTGTAGGTAATTATGGCTGTCCTCGAGCCGCCCCAAAAAGGCCCTTGCAAGCATAGGTGTCCTTTTTAGGTTGGTGTGGGTTAGAGGTAGATGGAAAAAGCCCCACTTCATTCCAGTTGCCAGGGAAAACCATCAGTTAAACCATCCATTTTTTCCACAAGGTCACCTATGTGGGCACAAAACAGAGGTGCACCCCCGGGCCGACGCGCCTCCCGACCGAGCTCGGGAGACCCTCCATGCCCGCTGGAAGTCACAAAGTGCTGTTTGGCTGACAAGGTCTGTGACCATCTCACAGTTTCAGCTGATTTCCAGTTGAAAGAATTTCAGACACCTGGAGAAAGACCCCTCACATATGTTGACCATCCCATGTGTGAGTCGCTAGGTTGACAGGGGGCATTTCTTTCTTGCAATACGTCCTTCAAACCGTCAGCAGCGCGCGGCGTTGAAGTCAGGTGGGTCGCTTCTGGGGTCGAGGCCCTCCAAAGCTATGTTCGGTGTCGGGTACATAGGCTGAATATGGAACAGAGTCAAAACAAATACCCTCCCACCAACTAACATGGAACTGCAAAAAGTCGCTGGGATCGCAAATTGTCTGGGCTGGTTAAAGGCAATCCTGAATCCTTGGGGTGTGAAAGGGTCCCCAGTGTGGTGGTTGTACAATCTGGATGTCCTTTCTTCGGTTCATCCCAAAACGGTTCATTCCATTTCTCTAGGGGTACCTCCCCCATTCTTTCCAGGGATCCTTCTTTCTAGAAATCCTCCAGAAACCCGGGGAAAACGGCTGGTTTTCGAAAAGAACGGAACCAACCCCCTAGAATTTATCATTCCCTGCATCTCTCGCAGCGATCGTGGCCGTCACCTTGGGGCTCATTCGTGGCCTCCGCATGCCGCGCTGAGAAGAGAGCGACCAGCTGAAGCCCACCAAGAGCGCCCGGACCTGAGACGCGTCGGATCCACATTGTTGGGGGCCGTTTCGGGCCGACAGGCGGCGGGTGTCGTTTTTGTTGGGCCGGCCTGCTGGCTTGTCTCACTTGAGTTCCGGAACTCGGACTTTAGCAACTTAACGTCGGACAACTTGAGTGGCCAACAAGAAGTGCCCGGACTGTTTTTGGACCACTCACTCGGGAAGAGAGGGGGGATTTCGACCCTTTTATTGGCAAATATGGAGTTTGGCTACTGCTTTTGGCCAATGTACTCACGCAGTTTTTTGTGGGAGTCAGCTGGCCTTTGTTCGACTTGTTTTTGCAGGGAAAAGCCATTGAGCATTGACTGCCAAGAGGAAGGGTGCTTTGTTTGTTTTTTTGGGTGGGGGAGGGGACCCCCTTGAGACAGTAGCAACAGCAAAAGGCGCGCTTTTGCTCATGGGCTGAACCCCCTTCCAAACGATCAACATGGCAAAGGAGCCAGATGCATCGGCCAGGGGCAGTTGATGGTTTTGAATGGTCCTGACCCGGCTCGATGGTTTCCACCAAAAAGGGCCGGGTTCCCCCCAGGAAAGACGACCCACCCGTATATCATGACAATCCGTGGCAAGCAAGACAGGTCCCAGGTCCCAACCACTTAAGTCGATTGCGAATGCAGCGGAAGGGCCATATTTGTTTGCCCTCCCTTCCTGAGTTCATGCACTTTTGCCACGTTTTGGGCTTGGACCATGTTAGAGGCAAGCACAAAGTTTGGATACCGTTTTTGGCCAGTCCGCTCAGGAAGTGAGTACTGCTTATAATATAGCAGGCCCAGGTGCAACCATTGTTTGTTAATTACTTTGTTGGGATTTGCCTGGGAATCACCTGGTTTCCTTGCTGGAGCAGGGTTTCGGCCGAGCACAGTATTCTCCAGATCCAAGCTCTCAGCGTGCCACAAACCAGAAGTTCCATGCAGTGCGCGGCATCTTGGCAGGGGAGATGAATTGGGAGCAACCATGCCCAACCGTAAAACAACACAATGAGGGAGGGCAACCTTTCTTCACAGTTGTTGTCAATTTGTTGGCATTTGTTTTTGGGTTTTAGTTTTTTGGGTCTGTTCATTTCACTGGGGGGTTTTCAAAGCAAGGTTTTTGTTGCTGCCATACCAAGGCTTGTAAAGCTTTGCAACAAGCGGTCCGTGTTGGCAAGCAGATGTAGGTCGTTTTCGTTGAGGTTATTCCACGGAAGCTCCCAGGACACCTTTGGCAGACCTTGTAATGAGCCTCCATGAAAACTCTAGGGCATGCTTCTCATGAAGCCCGCAAAGCTCCGACAGTCACCGTGGAAGGTTATGCATGAACGAAGTACTTGAATCACAATAAAGTGCCCACATTCTTCTTTTGTTGGCGCAAGGGATGCTTTGTTGATCAATTGGTTTGGGACCTACAACAAACGGTGAATCCGAAAGGGCGTTCCGATTTTTTTTTCTGCCAGGGCTACTTGGGCAAAGGGAGTCGCCCAATTTGAGGGTTCCCCTATCGTTTCGATGGGTAGCTTGGTTGAAATTCGATGGGCTCCTGGCTTCGGCTTCCAATGGAAGACCCAGGCCCTCCATTGGACACCCCAAAGGGGTTTTGGGGACTCAAAACCTGGCGGTTTGAGGGCCCAAAATAAATCGGGAGCGTCTGGGTGGGTAAACGCCTTGTCTCCCCATTTGGCGAACCATCCCTTAGTGAGCATCAGGTCAGCGTGAAGGACGCGATGGATGGAAGGACCATTGGCGGGTTCGATTTGCATTTCGCGTCTTTCTCGTTTCGCACGCCCGAGCTGAACCACTTTTTGGGAAGACTCTTTTAGTGGCAACCCTCAGCATCATTGGACTTGATTGGAGGGGTTTGGATCTCCGGAAGGTTTTGCGCCTCAAACGCAGCCTATTTGAGGTCCCAAGATTCTTGGGCAACTTCTGTCTGATACACCAGAGAGAAATTCAATCAGCATGAGCCTCGAAGAATACGGGAGCCTCAGCGCAGAATACTTCTTGGCCAAGAGAGAGTTGTCAGATGAGCTGAAGGAGATTGCCGCGACGGTCTCCGTAAGCAAAGATTTCCAGAACATGCAAGTGTATGGCAGCTCCGCGCTCCAGCACATGCGGTTTTACTCGGACGTCGATGCCGTGGAGGTGGTCAAGCTCAGTGCTACCTCAAGGGCAGCAGCAGCTGATGAGGCGGCCAGGCTCCTTCAGCAATTGGTGTCGCGGATCGAAGAGAAGGGTGCAATCTTTCTTGAGCTGAAGGCAGGTGTCAACGAGCAGTGGGAGGCGCCTTTGAGCCAGGTGGTAGAAGCAAGCCAGATGTCGGAACATTACAATGACATTTCGGAAGAAGGATTCGATTCTAGAGAAGCTAGAGAAGGATTCAAACTGGAATTGGACATTCTGAGGCAAAATGAAGTGGTTCAGGAACATGAGGGAGGCTTGGAGGATGATCCTTTTCCGAAGTGGTTCCTCAACGAGAACGAGTGGGGCCCGCGTGTTCATCGAGAGCTCCATGCGTTTGGCGGTTTCGATGCCCAGCGGGGGGGGGCGTTTGCGAGCACCGAGGAGGAGACTTGCGCATAGGTTGCGCACGCTTCGGTGGACCCGGGAGGAGGTATCCCAGAGTTTCGTTCAGCTTCCAGGTGTAAAGGGGCGGAAATCCCTTGCAGATGCCCTGCAAACCGCGGAGCGTGTGATGGTGGACGCTCTTGCATGGAGTAAGTCGGAAAGGATTTACCGGGAGGTCAGCAACGTGCTGATCTTCAAGTTCAAGGAAAATCATATGTCAGAGTGGTGCAACCTGTCCGACAAGTTCATGCCGGAGCACGACGTTCTCAAAAGTCTCGTTGTTCAGGTGAAGATTTACTGTGACAAGGAAGACCCACTGAAGGCATCGAAACGCCTTGCCTCCATGCTTCGCCGCATTCTGCAAAAGAGCGAGAGCCAGGTAGTGTAAGGCCTTTGCCTTGCAGCAACTGCGTGAACTGCAGCCGGTACTCGATGCCGCTGGGGAGCTCAAGTTGCTTGCTGTCCTTGTCGATGCCATGCTCCAGAAACCCCCGCAGCTGGAGGAGCACTCTCGCACCGTAGTGGACATGCTCAATCGTGCAAAGAGCCAACGTCCAGGGATGAGGCTATCGAGTTGCATCGCGGAACCGGACAAACTGGGGGAGGAATTGAAAAGTGCCAGTCGGGAGCTTGCAGAACACGTTTTGCATGCACGGGGCGGTTGGACAGTCATGCCGTTGAATTTGACCTGCCGCACAGAGAACGATGCGGTGTTTCTTGGGAAGCAAATACTGAGCTGGTTGGATACTTCCTCCCAGCCAGAGCTTTGCTTGACCGTGAAACGTGGTGATGGCTTTTGGGCCAGGTGCTTAGATCGTGTGGCTGAGCACATGGAGCGGATGGTCCCTGCTGCAGACCCGGCAAGAGAGCCGCCCTTGTGGTTTTGCCCCAGCGCGGGCAACAGCGAGGTCTCTGCGATTTTTGGTGGCGTGCCTTACTCTTAAGGAGCTCGGCTTCGCGGTTTGGATCAGGCCAAGGGCAGAGCTCAGTACCCACTCTTCATGGAGCGAAAAAGGCAGGCAGGACTGGTGGATCAAGTTGTCTCTGCGGGCTTGCTTATTTTGAAGAGACTACTGGCTGGTGGTGGAAGGGAGGGGGTATCCAAATTTGCTTTTAAAGAGGGAGCCTGGAGGAAGTTAAAAGGAGTTCTGGTACCTCATGCCAGTTCATCAAGGAAAATAGAACCAAGACATCCAGTCATCCAATCATTCAATCAAAAAAATGATAGTAAGTGCATATACATCATATGTGACAAGTATTCAGGAATTTATCGGTCTCGCTGGCGATTGGACTTCCAGATGCTCGTGGGGCGAAATTTCTACATGTCTAGACTGCCTCCAAAATGGCTGGCTTCCTTTGGGTTCCTTTGCAAAACGGCTCGCTCCGCTTTCTTTAGGTCCCGACAGTTGGAAACCTTCAAGTGTCCCACTTTCCAATTTTGGCCTTTGTATTGGTCAAGGCCCCGAAAGGTGGTCGATCACCTTGCCTCGGCAACTGGGCGTCGAGTACAAAAACCACACGCCCCTTCCTGAAAACACGTGCGACTGGCTCCGCCAGGACAGTGGTCGGGCGTCTGAACCTCCCTCAGAGGAGCATCCAAGTTGCTATACCCAAACGTGCAGTTGTCGAATTCAGAGGGAGGCCTTCGGGCTCGAGCCGTATGGTCGACAGAACATCCGGCTTTAGGCTGTCGTTTTGCTGTGTCGTGTGATTTTTATTTTATTTTATTTTATTTTTTTTTGGGGGGGGGTTTGCCAAATTGACATGTGCCAACGGCACGCCCTTGCCCAAAGCCATGTTCTCAGAACCCCGTCTCTCTGAAAAGAAGCGAAAAGGGAATCTGAGATGATTCTTCTTTCAACAAAACTGACAGCCTAAGCAAAACTCACGTGTATAGAGCCTGGTAGCCATCGGCAGGTTTAATGCGACGAATATCACCCTCACACATCCGTGGCCCGATCATGAGCGCGCGCGTCTCCCTTCTTATTTGCATTACCAAATCCAAAGTTGACGGGTAAATTCTCAGTCGCCCAGTCGCGCCATTGTTTTTCCTCACGCGGCCATTAGCGGCCCCAAACAGTTTGCATATTTTGTCCTTTTCCTTTTCTTTTTTTTTGGGAGGGAACGGCAGCGCGACCTTCTTGTTGTTTTAGTGTTTTTGGGTTGGGTTTGTTTGAACACTAAACAAGGGCGGCCTCCCCTAGCTGCCCATCCCCAGGTGTTGAATAAAATACAGCCACTATGTGGGCAGAAAGGGCATATACACCATTTTCCCCGTGGTAGTGGTTTGGGGGTAGTTGACACCACCTTAGATTAGGGCGACTTACCCTACCAAGGGCTTGACCCCTCGTATCCTTGCAACTGCCACACGATACTAGTATCACAAAAAAGGGGCCCACATTTCAAGCATTCATGGTTGGCGCAAGTGTAGCCACTTGCAACCAAAGCCTTCGATTCCAACATGTGAAGCTGTTATGTCCAGGCCCTGGAGGGGGTTTTTATAGCCTGAAATGGCTATGAATTTGAATAGGGAACCCACCTCAAAGCGGTTGGACATGAATTGTCTTTGAAGTTTGATGGCCAAAGGGTCTTTGTTTTCAGGTATCAAACAGGCAGGCCTGGTCCTCAGTCCGGAACGCAGGACAGACTCAGAAGCAGGCGGGGAGCTGAGCTGTGGGACCCCTCACCCCCTTAAACAGGGAATTGGGGGAGGGGGGGCGACCCCTAACGATCTCCATGTATAGCTGCATTTTCCCTTTTATGGGGAAAAAACAATGGAGTTGGGGAACCCCCCCCCCCTCCCTTCTGGTTGGGGGGGATCTTGCAACTTTTGGTGATGTTGAAAAGGAAGTCAAAGGGAAGGCGACCGTCAGTAGGATTCCAAACACTTTGCAGGTATTTTACCTGGATGTTGTTATGGTGCTTGCTTGTTTTACAGTACGGTTAACCCTAAATTGGGCGACACGGCTCCAAAAAGTCGAACGGGTTCTACGATCCGGGGTCAACATTACTTACAAAGGAATCAAACATGGCTGTGGATCAAAACCAATTGGTACCAAATTGGGGTAGGTGCACCACCCATTTTAGAACCTATTTTAGTGGGGATTGGGATGTTCACTGGGGGTACGATTTGGATTTTGACCCATGGCCACATAAGAATCAACCGTTTGGAATGCATGAAGCGCCCATGAGCTGGTCTCCTTTCGCTTTGAGGGTATACCGGTCCCTTAAAACAAGACAATGCCGGAAGAAAGGTTGGGGCGTGTGTGGACTGTTTCCAGTGTTCAATCGGAAACACCCAAAACCGGCCCCTTCAAGGATGAATGTGGGCGAATTAAAAAATCACTTCCCGGCTGGTTTACAGGATCCCCTTCTAAAGCAGGTGGTTTCCGCATTTGTCCTTTGAGGAACCTGCCAAACTCTCAAACAAAATGGGGCGGCTATACTTCGGATTCACGAAATCCTGCACCACCAAAGAAACCCATGGACTTATATATATATATATGTACATACATATTATTCGGTAACTAGCAACGAACGTGCCATGGTTTCAGCCATGGTTTCTTCAGCGGTGCGAACGGATTTTGTCCATCCACAGTATTCAAGACATGCCCAGCTTTTGACCCGAGATGTGGCCAGGCGTGCGACTGTCACCCCGCTTCCCCGGCGGGCGCCCAAGTGCGGAAGGCTACATAACTTCCATTTGGTTAAGAATACTTTTTTTCTCTCTGCTGGTTTTAAAGGGAATCCATCACTACTGGAAATGTTTAGATTTTATTTCCCAGGGGACGTAAGCAAATCGAAGCCCTTTGTCCAGCTCGGTTGTGGGGATCGAGGGTGGACAAATCCCCGCGGGTAGGGACTTAGACTTGCAATGGCTTCCCTCAGGGCCGGACACAGCCGGCCCTGCCGATCCGGTTTTGGGAGAAACCCTTGCTCACCATATGGGGACAGGGACGGTGTGTCTCGAAACAGGGGGCGCTTCAGGCACAGCGAGGGTTCTTTTTTGGTTTCCCTTAGCTCTCTTGTCCAAATCCGACCGGATCTGACTCTCTGGTTTTCCCGTTTTGGCTAACCCACCTGCTAATTGTTACTGATGGGTTTCCCCATCAGGTGATCACCTTTCATTTCTGGCTACCCCAGGGGCAAGTGAGCGAACATGAGCTCACCAGCTTTCGGGTTCCTTTCGGGTGGCCGATAGAGCTTCAGGAGGCAAGATGGGTTTGTCTCAAAATCGGGGTACCTCCAAATGGTGTGTTCCAAACGGCTTCCCTTTACGCCAGCCCCAAAAGTTACCCTCAGAAAAAGGACGCCCCCTAGATGCATTCATAGTCTTAGGCGCTTTGGCACGACCCTTTTTCCTTTGATTGTCTATAAGGGGTTCTCCAAAGTCAGATTGTCAAGGAAGGGTCCTTTTGGACTTCCCTTGAGCAACTTCGGCAGTGAATCCATGTTGGATTTACCAACTGCTCGAGATGACTCGAATGTGGAATATTGATTCCTCCGACTCCCATCTGCCCCCCTCCAATCATTGAAGCTGCTCTTGAGGGCTGTCAGAAAGGACGACCCCTTGTTGAATCGCGCTTTGCCTCCAAAGAGCACCCCTAATTTCGATACCGCCCTTTTGTCTGGTCATCTTGTTTCAAACACGACCTTTGGGGGCACTTGTCAGGATTTCTTCTGCGCTTTGGCACACGATCCTTGCCGAAACAACGCACATTTCAACCAATGTCAGGCACTTTCATTGGGGCGGCTGTTAAGAATCGAGAACACCAATCAACCAGCAGGACAAGCATGGCCCTCAGAGAATGCGGTACAAAAAAAAAAAAACAACAACCAGTTGGTCATCAGATCTACTACCGGTTGAAGATTGCATCAACTCATATAGCTTCTCCTTTGGACTTTTGGCTGAGCCCCGCGGCTGTGCCGTGTCTTGTGGACAGGACGCATTTTTCACATCCCCATGTGCACGCCCTTGTTGGAAGGAGGGTACCTTTTGGTTGACGTGGCTCTCA